CCGCAACTCCCCTGACTGTGAACCCCCCTTGCCTGGCTGTTCCCCTCACCCTCCGGCCTGTGTTCTCATGACCCCCTCCCCCCTACCGTCCCCTCTCTTTGCCTCCCCGGGCTTGGCCTCTGTCCAGCAACCCCACCTTCTGGCCCACAGCAACCCTGCTGGGATCCCGTCTCCTCTTCTCTCTCCTCCCCCCCCCACCGCTGCCTCCCAGCTCTGTGGGGCCTCTGTCCAGCAACCCCACCTTCTGGCCCACAGCAACCCTGCTGGGATCCCGTCTCCTCTTCTCTCTCCCCCCCCCCCCACCGCTGCCTCCCACCTGGATCCCCATCTCCTGTCTGGCTCTCTAAACGATCCCCCTTCCCCCTACTCTCTGGGCCCTGAACACTCCCGCCCACACACACACACCTGCCCAGGAACCCAGCCCCCTTTTGCTGTGTCCTGACAACCTCACACCTGCCTGGGACCCAGGTGATTCTCTCTCTCCCTTTGTCTGAGGAAGGAGAATTCTGGTGTTCCCGGTGCCCACGTCCCCAAGTCCCTTCCTGTCTGGGGCAGGAGAGCTTTATTAAAATTGGAATTATGATCCCATTTAAATAGGCTTTGCTTTAAATAATATACCTTTAAAATTAAATTAAAAATTGTTATGGCCTAAATTTATCATAACCTATTTAAATAACTTATGAATTAAATTTAAAAATTAAATAGAACATGTCTCCTGTCAACTTTTAAAGATATTCTACCAGTTCACTAGTGTAGGTACCCGGAACCAGTGTTTACATCAGCAGTTGTTTACATCAGCAGTGTTTACATCAGCATCACCTCTCTTCTGCAGGTGAAGAGAGAATGTTTTTATCACTTTGGTTTATTCAGCTAGTTCAGTCCAATGATTAGTTCATTCATCATTGCAAAACCGAGAGTTGACAAAGCAGAAAAACTTGTTTTCCTCTTCTCTAAGTAAAAAAATGGTTATGAGAGTGTTCTAACATCTTGAAGAACATGATGACTAGATTTGATCTGTTAAATTCACTATGGATATTTCCTTTGTTTAATAAATGAATTTTAGATTCAAAATGTGTTTGGATACTTTTTTGTTCTGTGTCCTTCACATTTAAGGTAGTTTTATTTCATACAAAAATTAAATGCTGGTTTTGTTTATTTTAAATAGAATTTCCGTCCAGACAGAAGTAGATGCAAATCTTATGTTTTAAAAAAAGTAGCCACCACTTAGCAAATAATAAATGGGGTAAAACCTGTCTCTTAAGTGTTCCTATTACACACCATTTTGTAATAGAATAAAAATGTAAAAATTAAGAATCTGATTACATGTAAGTTACACAATTATTTGGGCATTTATTTAGTTGGTAGCTGTACTGAGTGTGTTCTCCTGGTTAGTAAATAGAAGCACCAAATTTGGCATAAAGATTATATTTATTTGTAAATCAACATGTTTTAAAGGTTGCTAATCAATAAGACTCAACCATCCTCTAGGAAAATATTTTAAAAGTATAATTTAAATGATTAATTGCTCATTTAAACCTAAGTTTTCTGCTTGCCAGTTTAAATCATGATTAAAATTAGAGACTTAAATCAAAGCTGTTTAAATCAATCCACCCTGCTTCAGAAGCTGTTTGGTTCGTCCCTGAAGGAGAAAGCACAGGGCTGTGCTCATGGAATAGGTCCTAGGCTACTGGGGTTTTGTTGTCTGGTGCCTGTCTTGTTCTGGACAGTTGAGCTGGGGAGTTGAAACAAAAGTTCTCTTAATCCCTTTGAACTGTTTCATTGTATAGGGAGGCTGATTCTTGTCCATGGACACCAAGAGTTGGACAGCTTATGTATTGGTGTTGGAATCTGAGTGATTATAAGGCTTCTAATAATAAAATCCCTTTGCAGAGTGAGGAGTGGGACCGGGAGTCCAGCACTAGGTGATGTGAACAGCTGCATGCTTTGGAAGTCTTTAACTGGCTTGCTGTGGATAAACCTGCCCTCCCATTGTCCTCACGTGGGGAGTCCCTGGCACTCTCCTAGGAGATGGAAAAACCCCTGGGTTTGGGCTCCCCCTGAAGCACACGCTCCACTCCCCAGGAAGCCGCACAAGCTGCCTTTGTGCAAGCACCCCCAACAATCCGTGAACGCTGCATTTGCATGTAGACCCTTCCCAGACAAAAAAAGGGGAAGAGGGCGCAGCCAAAAAATTTTTTGCTTGGGGTGGCAAAAAACCTAGAGCTGGTCCTGGTTGTGATGTAGGGTAGGGAACTAGGGTGCAGGGTTTTGGGAAGTGACATGTGTGATCTTGGGCAGGAGATTGGGGTGCCAGATCTGGGAGGGGTTGGGTGCATGTGGAGTAGTGGGACAGGAGTGGGGGGCAGAGGGTTGGGGAAGGGAGGGTGCCAGAGGCACGTTCTGGCTAGGAGACTTACCAGCCAGCAGCCAACCTAGCCCTCCTGTCTGCCTGTAGGGCTGAAGGCTTGCAGAACTTAAATGTTTCTGCCTGCTCAGCCATGTGCTTGAGTGAGTAAATGAGCAGGAGGGTGACTGCCTGTTAGTCAAACAGGCAGCTCCCATTTGCCACTTTCTGTCCAGAAACCAGCCAATGGGATTGTCCTGGGGGCGGGAGCAGCATTTGAATCTTCCCGTCTCCTCTGGACTCATAAGGGGAAAGCGCCCTGCAACCATGTTTCTGATCAATGTGTGGGGCTGCAGGGCAAGCCGGGGAGCCTGTCTGGGACTCCCCACTGCCTCCGTGGGCCAGATCCGGTGGCTTGGCGGGCAAATCCAGCCCACGGGCTGCATTTTGCCCAAGTGTGCTCCAGTCAAATCTTCCCCTGCACTTGCTGGTGGGATATGGAGGGCCCGTAGCTGACAATTAGCTGCACAGCCTACTCATCTCACATGTTTTGAACAGTGATGAGAGAGAAAAAACAAGAGAGAACTGGAATGTGCAGCTGTTACCCACAAATGCAATGAGCTGACAGTACTCTGAGCATACACAGGGATTCCCCTCCCCCTTCATTAAGGGGCAGAGGTGCAAGTGGGGTAGCTGTGAGGGCTGAAAGAACCAATTAATGCAAGAAAATGGAGACTAGGGAGCTTGGTCGGATTACAAAGAGAATTTATGCTTCCTGGATCGGGTGCAATCTGCTGGCATGTGAAGGGTCTAACAGTCCAGGGGAAGTGAAATGGTTTGGGGTGGTTGGAGGAGGGAGGAGCATAGAGGTCAAAGGGTAACAAGCTAGAAAGTTTCTGCTGAAGAGCAGCCGGTATGTCCTTCCAGTGAGATCCATTGGAGCATGGTGCAGCCTCCTAGGCAGGGAGTGGCAAAGCCTCAGTGAGTAATGAAAAGTAGTCTGGCCAGAGACCTTGCAGGGGATGGCTCCCTGTTTGCTTCAAGGGTAGTGGGATTTTTTCCCCTTAACCTCCTCTGGTTTCTAGGCGGGGATCGGTCCCCAGACTATAGGAAATATGAAGCAATATAGCTGAGCTTAGCCAAGTTAAATGGGGAGTCTAGGCCAAAAAGCCATGGGGAGAAGCAGCTTCCTTTGGGGAAACCCTGCATTTGAATAGAATGACTAGCTGGCCCAACTCCACCGGGGAGCACAGTGTCCTCAGCCCAGTGCTGCAGCTCAAACTGGTTCTGCTTCAATTTGCTCTCTGACCACCTCAAAGCAGGCTGGGCCTGTGTGATACTTTCTTCTGCAAGCTCCTGGCTCCACAGTGTTTGCACAGCAAGCAGGGATAGCAGGTATCTCCCCTGCCAGGAAACTAGCTTCAAAGAGTGCTGCTTTGGAAGTGTGTGGGTGGGGGTTTTACTACTGATGGAGACAAGGCAGAGGGCTTGAAGGTCAGCTGGAAGACATGGGTCTGAGAAAGCTTGCACAAAACAAGCCTGGCTATGCCAGAGACTGGGTCAGCAAAGGCCAGTCGTGTAACCTGCGGTGCCTTTGAGAAGCCAGTAGATGTAGCTTTAGCACCAGCAATTTAGCAATTTCACTTGCTAAGCCTTTCCCTGCCAGCCATGCCCCTGCCCTCTTCTTGTGGCACCTGCCTCAGCTCTTGCCAAGTGAAGGTTTGTTCTCCACTCCCTGCAGTGCTGCTGATAGCCAGTCCATGGGAACCTAGAGCAGGGAGCAGAGCCCACCCCCCCTGCCACAGGTTTCTTTCATGGACTTGGGCAAGTCATTTAGTGACAGCGCCTTAGTTTCTAATCTATGAAAAGGGACTAACCAGCTTTTGTTGGTCTGTTTTGTCTCTTTGCAATCTGTGCTCTGCAGCAGGCCTGTCTCCTCTTGTATGTACTGTACCAAGGACACTCTTGCTTGGGACTTCTAGGTGCTACAACAAGACAATACCGAGTTTCAGCCAGCCCAGCAGACATTTGTCATCTGTGCAGGGTGACTGGTGGTGGGGAACACTGTGCGCCAGTCACTGCACGAGTGGTTGCATTTCAACCTGGTATAATTTAATTTCTAACTTATTCCTGTGTCATTCCCAGGACCTTGACCGCTCCTATGGTCACGAGGTATGGAGCCAGCTGGAACTTGGTAATCACTGGTTCTGTCCACTGGAGGAGCTGAGCCTCCAGCAACTCTGGTCCAGCTCAGACTTTAGCTTCCTGTGGAGCAAAGACCCCCGCTGAACCCCTCTGCACAGGCCACCTGCCCAGCACACTGCACGCCAACGGGACCGCTTACCTCACCTGCAGGCTGGTGATGCTGGGAACTACGCCTGCATGCCCCACCTGAACAGCCACACAGACGCCTTCTTCACCATCAGGCTGGCCATGTCAGGTAGGGCTGTGGGAAGTGCCCCACATGTATCCTTGCAGAGCTAAGGCTAAACACCTGGCTTGAAACACTGGTGCCTCCTGCTGGCTGATGCAGAGAGTAAGCCTCTTCTGACAGCAGTGTTGTTTGGCTGCTTATGCTGCTTCTGGCTTATTAGACACACAAGGTAGCCTAGGCTATTTTGTGCTTCTGATATTCAGCAAGCAAAGCTCCAGGAGTGTATATGGGGGGGGGGGTGTTTGTGTGTGTGGAAATTTTAGGCATAAGTGCCCTTGGATATCTAGGTTTGCTTTGACTGGAAATTTTAAAATCATATTGGTGGTGTGATACACCTCCCCCAACTAAATACTCCCCCATTTCTGAGCATCTGTTCACTGAATTTAGAAAGAAACAAGGGCAGAAGTAGTAACCACTGGAGGGGATAAGGAACAAGTATACAAACATCAGACTACTCACTAGTATGGCAGCATAGTGGAGGGGAAAGCCGAGGCAGTGCCTATGGCATTTCAGCAAAGCCCGGAGTCAGCTGGGGACTCCCCAGCTGACTCCAGGTTCCCTGCAGCATTTCTCCAGAACCTGGGGTCAGCTGGGGAGTCCCCAGCTGACCCTGGACTTCACGGCACTGCCTCTTTGAAAAGCTGAGGCAGTGTTTCAAAGGGGCAGCTGCCGCACAGCTGATCCCCGGCTCTGCGCAGCATTTCCCCAGAATCCGGGGTCAGCTGGGGAGTCCCCAGCTGACCCTGTGCTCCACGCAGCATGCTGACCCCATGCTTCAAGGTCCCCTGCTGTTCCCAGGCTCCAAGGCTTTGAAATGCACAAGAGCCCCTGCTGGGGATTCTTGTACATTTCAAAGTAGGCACCTGCAGCCCATGCAGCCCAGAGTCAGCAGGACTTCCTGCTGGCCCTGGGCTGTATGTGGAGTTCCGCATTCTTCCTTTGAAGTGTACAAGAGCCCTAGGGCTCTTGTACATTTCAAAGGAGGAATGCAGAAGTGCCTATTGACTGGAATTTAACATCCTCAGTCCAGTCCCCTGTCCTCAGGGCAGGACCGAGCTCCATCTGGTTATCCCTGCTCTAACCTGCTTTATCTAACCTGCTCTTAACTATCTCCAATGATGGAGATTCCATAACCTCCCTAGGCAATTCATTCCAGTGTTTAACCACCCTGACAGGAAGTTTTTCCTGATGTTCAACCTAAACCTCCCTTGCTGAAATTTTAACACATTGCTTCTTGTCCTATCATCAGAGGTCAAGGGGAACCAATTTTCTCCCTCCTTCTCCCTCCCACTTACAGCCCCTCCCAGCTTGGTATCATCTGTGAACTTTATAAGCGTACTCGCTATGTCATTATCTAAATTGATGAAAATATTGAACAGAACCAGCCCCAGAACTGACTTCTGCAAAACGCCGCTTGTTATGCCCTTCCAGCATGACTGTGAACCATTTATAACTGGTTGAGTTACCATTCTCGGAGAGTAGTTATGCACCCACCTTATAGTAGCCCCATCTAGGTTGTATTTCTCTATTTCATTAATAAGAAGGCCATGAGAAACTGTACCAAATGCTTTACTAAAGCCTAGGTATACCACGTCTACCGCTTCCCCCTTGTTATCCTAACAATCCTATCAGATTGGTGTGACATGATTTGTTCTTACAAATCCATGTTGGCTGTTACCTATCACTTTATTATCTTCCAGAAATTTTTAGATGAATTCTTTGATTATTTGCTCCATTATTTTTCCTGGCACAGAAGTTAAACTGACTGGTCTGTAGTTTCCTGGGTTCTTCCTATTTCACTTTTTATAGATGGGCACAATATTTGACCTTTTCCAGTCTTCTGGAATCTCTTCTGACTTCCATGGTTTATCTAATATGATACCTCCTCTGTCAGCTCCTTGAGTATTCTAGGATGCATTTCATCAGGCCCTGGTGACTTGAAGACATCTAACTTCTCTAAATAATTTTTAACTTGTTCTTTTTTAATTTTAACTTCTAAACCTACCCCATTTCTACTATCATTCACTATGTTAGGCATCCAGTCACTACCAACCTTCTTGGTGAAAACCAAAAAAAAGAAGTTGTTAAGCACCTCTGCCATTTCCATGTTTTCTGTTATTGTTTCTCCCTCTTCATTGAGCATTGAGCCTCTCTGTCCTTGCTCTTCCTTTTGCTTCTAAGTAGAATGTCTTCTTTTTACGCTTCATGTCTCTAGCTAGATTGAGCTCCTTTTTATGCCTTCGCCTTTTCTATGCCCCTACATAATTGTGTTATTTGCGGTATTCATCCTTTGTACTCTGACCTAGTTTCCACGTTTTATGCAACTCTTTTTTATTTTTAGATAATTTAAGATCTCTTGGTAAGCCATGGTGGTCTCTTGCCATATTTCTGTTTTTCCTATTCAGTGGAATAGTTTGCTCTTGGGCCTTTAATAATTTCCCTTTGAAAAACTGCCAACTGTCTTCAGTTGTTTCTCCTCTTAATCTTGCTTCCCATTGGACCTTACCTACCAGCTCTCTGAATTTACTAAAGTCTGCCTTCCTGAAATCCATTGTCTCTATTTTTCTGTCCTCCCTTCTACCATTCCCTAGAATCATGAACTCTATGATTTCATGATCACTTTCTCCCAAGCTGCCTTCCACTTTCAAATTCTGAACCAGTTCCTCCCTATTTTTGTTAAAAATCAAATCTAGAACAGCTTCCCCTCCGGTAGCTTTCTCAACCTTCTGGAATTAAAAATTGTCTCCAATGCAGTCCAAGAACTTCTTGGATAATCTGTGCACTGCTGGATTAGTTTCCCAACAGATGTCTGGATAGTTGAAGTCCCCCATCACCACCAAGTCCAGTGCTTTGGTTGATTTGGTTAGTTGTTTAAAAAAAAAAGCCTCATCCACCTCTTCTGCACCACCTGTGAAGGGAGAAAAGCCTCAATTCCCATTGAATTTAAAGAAATATTACTGACTGCAGTGGGAATTGGGTTGGGCACATAGAGGAGGCCAGTGCTTAGAAGAGGAAAAGAAGCAGCGGCCATTAGGAGATCGGGGGCTGAGCAATGAGCAGCACCGTGCCCTAAGACATTTCTTCTTTTAGAGGGCAAGTAGCTCTTTGCCATGGATCTACACTAGTCTTTAAAAGTGGAGAAGTGTCAAATGTGGGTGAAAATGTGAATGAAAATTGCTTGCTCTGTATGTATCACTGACATTTCAGATGTTAGGCACGTTGTAACCAACTTTCACTGCACACACAAACGAGAGAGCTTACTTCTCTGTGGGGAATGGAGCCAGGATCGTCTACACAAGCCTCTCAGCCTTATGCCAGCAAGTAGGAGGCTGTTATAGTCATTGAGGATCAGCTGTTGGGGGAAAGACATAGCCCCGCACTACACCAGTATGTGACAGAGGGTATGGCTGGGCAGTTGGAGCATTTTGCACGTTTGCTTTCTCTGCGATGTGGATCTGCTCCTCATTCTACTACTCATGAAACCAAATTCTTGGTATGTCCTTCCTCTCTCCTGCAGATCTTTGCAGCATGTCCCCCGAAGTCCTCTTCCCATCCCGCAATCAGACTTTGGAGCCTGCCTTGGGAAGCCAGGTGACACTGAACTGCACCATGCGGCTACCCTTTGAACAGGACTGCCAACCTGTTCTGCGCTGGATGAAAGATGGCGATGGGCTAGGCAATGAGAGCAGCCAGTATACCTGCAAGTTGTTAAACTGGTAAGAAGTCAGGCTCATCTATAAATAAAATGTGGCACTGATGTGGCTACTGACAGGCAGGACAAAGTGCTTCAATCATTGTGTAAAGGTCATTCACTCAGCTAGTTAGCCACGCCTCAGTGAGGGTCTTGGACCCACCATCAATTTCAGAGTCTCCACTGAGCAGTACCCCAAATTCCAGCACTTCCTATTGATAAACTCAACTTCACAGTACTGGAGTTCTGAGCCCAGCGTGCCAGTGCTCAAAACTCAGCAAGACACCCTCTCAGCCAAAGTACTGCCCTCCACCACTTCCCGTTCTGGCTTTGGGCTCCCCACACAGCTCTGCTCTTGTCCCCCAGACCTCATCTTCAGCACCTCTGTTCTTCTAGGCCCTCTCCCCACAGCTCTGCCAGGACACTTCAGTCCTGATCCAGAACACCTCCTGCTAGTCTTGTCCCGGGTCCGGCACAGCTCTGTCAATGCACCCAAGGGCAAGTCTACACTCCAGCACATCACTTCAGCTCAGAGCAAAGCTGAAATGCTGGTGGGGACAGCACAAAACTTGCTTCGCACATCGGGGGAGGGAGGAGAAGCTTTTTCATCCCTGAGTGATGTAAATTATATCAACTTAGGCTGTAATGTAGACCTCTCTCCAGTCTTGATCTGCAGCACCCTTGCTATTGCAATCCTGGCCTTCCCTCTATGTCTGAGGGCATGTCAGTCCTCCTGACTCTCCACTTCCCATCCTAGGCCTCTTGGGGAAATATGTCAGTGATACCAGCCTTTTAGGTGGAGGTTTTGTACAATTAAGAAGTGTCTAACATCACCCAGCATCTATTCGTTGGTGACTGATGCAGGGTTTGAACTCGCGTCTCTGGAATATAAGCACAAGCACAAGTGTCTGAGTTATCCCTTTTCGTATGCTCTAAACATCATCATTCCTTAATCACACAGATAAACAATGAAGCACAGTATGAGGAAATGCCCCCCCCCCCACACACGCACAAAGCATGTAGACCAGCTGATGTTTCTGTCCATTTTATATTATGGCTCAGGGAACTAACTAGACTCCCTACTAGGGATGTAAATACTCATTTAAAAAGTTAGCCAATTAAATAGTATAATTTTAATTATTTAACTTATTAACCGGTGCCGCGCCCAGGGTTGCTGCTCCCACCCAGCCAGGCCCACTGTGCTGCCGACAGCCTTCCTCTTAACTGGTTACCAGGTAAGCATGCCAAAAAGGCTAATGCTTACCAGTTAAACTTTTATATCCCTACAGCACAAAACCAGGGGTCTGAGGGCTGCTATACACCCTGGCTCACATCTGCCACAAGGGTAAAGTCACTGTGATCGGAGAAGCTCCTCCAAGTAGGTACTAGAGTCACTGAGAGCCGAATCTGGTCCCATCCTATGTTTTCCCCCCACAATTACAGAGGCACATCTGCCAGCTAAGCTTCTGCTGACCCTCTGTGAAAACCATAGAGCTTTCAACAGGTCTCCTTGCTCAATAGCAGTTAGCCTGAGCTTTGCGGCCTTTCACTGGCTAGACACTCTTTTCTACCAGAGGCATACTACTTTGAGAGCACTAAACACACAAAGCTAGCACGTTGCACCCTGCACCACTTCTTCTTTGCAACCAAATGCATTATCCCTGTTGCCAGCAGGAGTTGTAGGAAAACTGCACCTATGAGGGGTGTGACAATGGCGGGATATGAATGGAAAGTAGGGCCAGCAGCTTAACCAATCTGAGGCAAATCATCTGAAGTTCTTCTTTGTTGGAGGTCAAGGTGATCACGCCTGTGAGTGTGTGTAAGCACATTTATCCATCCACTTTGTTGGCCAGGCAATGCAGAGTCCATTAAAGCAACTCCTACAATTTGAAGACTTTCCTGCCACTAAAAGATTCTTAATTGTAGATTTAGGAACCTGACCTTAGGTGCTATTTTGTCTCTAAAGGCTTTGGTCTCTAAAGGTACATCTACACAGCATTGTTATTTTGGAATAACTGATGTTATTCCGAAATAACAAGGTGAGTATCTACACTACAAGTCATTATTTCAATATAATGTCGAGCTGGAGGATTTCTTACTCTGACTCCTGGTAACCCGCATTTCACGAGGAATAAGGGAATTCAAAGGAAGAGTGTTCTTCCTTCAACTTCCAGCACCAAAAGCCGAATTAAGCTATTTCTACTTAAACTATGCAATTGACATAGCTGAAGTTGCGTTGCTTAATTCGACTTTAGCCTTGCTGTGTAGATGTACCCTAAGAGAAAGGTGAATTTCCACTGAATGGCTAATCGTTTATTGTGTAGAGGACAAAGGTTCTCCAAAAGAATCTTCTCAGAAGTTAGAGATTGACAGCCTCCATCCTTCCATCCAGGCCTTTTCCCTTTCTGGGAAATGACAAAGCAGAGTTCCTATAGGCTACATTTAGAGGAGGAACAAAAAGAAGCTTCTAGTTAGAGTTTTTCAGTCCCATAGTTTCAGTAGGACACCATTTCCCTGAAAGAGTCCACTGTAGCAGTGCACTAATGCTACTCTTGTATGTCCCCCAGGTACAGTGACAATGCAACAGAAACTTTTGTGTCAAGCGTTCTAGGGGTGAACCTGACAAGCGATGAGGACTATGGGGTGTTTGCCTGCGTGGTCAGGAACACTACAGCCACTTTCACACTACACAGATCAGGTAGCCATTTGGGCATTTACACAATATTAATACAAATGCAAAGAAGGGGCTACGTTGTGGTAGGGTCTGCTGAATAAGGCCTTTCACCCAGGTTGGGCCAGTCTATGGCAGGCCCTACTTTGGTTAGCTCTTGGGATTAAAGGAGCATGTCATGCATGTTAACCCTTTCAGTGACCTGCTGAGGCACGTCCTGAACTGATTGCTGCATTTTCTTAGCTATTGCTGTTTTGAAAGTAAACCCTGAGCCAGGAGACTATTAGCATGGGGGAGGGGAGGAGGGAAAAGGAGGCTTTATGAAATCAAGCTGCTCTTTCAATATGCTGACTGAATGTGGTGCCATAGGATGGCAACATAACCTGTAGCGGTGGAGATGGGGCTGCCTCGCAGAGGCTAGCCACCTCGGTCAAGGCTTCTTTGTTTTCAAGACCCCCAACAAGGAGCTGATGATAGGGAGTCTCTGGAGTCAGCCCTACTGAACTCTAGACAGGCACATGCCCTAGTGAAGGGATTCATCGGCCTCATGCAGAAGAATTCTGCTGGATAGTATGGCTTTGTAGCCAGGAAGCACCAAGTACCCTGGATCCCAAACCCACTCATCTGTTTCTAGGCTGCTGTCACAGAATTTGGGGGCCCCTTTATATCACAGAGCCTCTATCATCTGCTCTGTGTGATCCTTCTTTAAGCAAATGCAGCTGAGCCCCTCTTCACACTGGTGGCTAGAGATGTAGAACTCCCCCTCCCCCACGAGATCAGAGTCCATCCCATGTACATGCAGGACAGCATCCACAGGCAGACACTACAGCTGTCTTAGTAGTCTGACAACAGGAGTGGTTTTAGCTAGAAGCTTTGAGGCCAGTAGCTTCTGCTTGGGTCTTCCCCCTGCAGACCACTACCTACCTCAAACCCCTCATTTACCAAAAACGTAAAATTCCTTTAAGTCAAATACCAAGTGTACTGAAAATGTTCTTCTTGGTAATTGCAGAAGCTGCTGGACATGTGAGTGCAGTGGTGGCAGCCCTCCTGGTCCTGGGGCTGCTGCTGCTCATGGTTGTGATCTATGCCAAGTGCCGCTTGAATATGCTGCTGTGGTACAGGAACCGTTACGGGGAGCTGGAGATCAATGGTAACCCAATGGGCTTTTGTGAATCCTGTTTTCAGTCTGATTTGCACTTTGGATTTGAGGGAGACGGGGAAAGACTCCGTGTTCCAGACATTCCTGGCTTCTGCTGCTCCTGTAAAGATTGCATGAGAAAAGGATTGGAAAGCAGAAGTGAACTAGAATTCCCCTGCAGCCAGAGGGTCTTCCTGCCCCCAGCAGCCTAGAGGGTGACTCCTTCTCAAGGGCCAGCCTACCCAGGGTGTTCCTAGAGTGTGTGTCTGGATTGTGACTCATGGTTCCTCTAATAGTCTGTCCTCTTGGGTCAGTACATTCCGAAGGGAGTCTGCTCCCTATATTGAGTTAAGGGTGATGTTAGTTTGCTCTGAAAAGCTCTATTTGTTTAACCTACTCCAGCAAGCCCAACCAGTCTTGTCACAAGCCAGCTCCACAAGCCAGATCCACAGGGAGGCCCTGGAATCACAGTTCATCCACAAATTCAATTCACATGCTAATGGACTCAATCATGATATGGGGTGGTGGGGACTCTACCTACTTAATAACCACTGAAGGTGCTAACAGCTCTCTGAGTGGTATCCTTCCTGTCTTAGGAATCTATCTATTGACTTTGATTTTTATCTGCTTAGGTTTAAGTACCCATTCTCCAGATACTTAATGATGCTCTGTCTCCCACCCCCCTCCCGAATTAATAAATCAAATTAGCTGTTATTCCTCCTGGAATGAGGTTTAACAGCTAATTTGATTTAGGGCTTTAATTTGGAATCCCGTTTCACTGCTGCGTGTAGACGTGGGCAGTTACTTCGGGCTAGTCAATTTCTAAAATGGCGACCGGCTGGGAACATGCTAATGAAGCGTGAGATATTTAAATCCCGCACTTCATTTGCAATTTCAGTTATCCTCATTAGCCTCCCTAGATCGAACTAAGGGGCTAGTGTAGACATACCCTAAGTGATTCTGTGTTCCTAAAAAGAATCCAGTGGCATTTACTTTATAGAGTTTCTGTATGTGTATGAAAACCTGCACTATTTCTTTACCTCTTATGAAAGACACTTTTAATTGTTAGCCCTTATCTATGCACCTCTACACCAGTTTAGATAAACCATACCTTTCTGTAGATAGAGATTTCAGTTTAAAACTGGTGCTTCTAGCACATCCTAACCCTCCAAACGTTGTACAGTGCAGCCTCCATTTTCCTCCCAGCTGTTTGTCCACTGCTCTGCTCGCTCTTCTTGGTTTCAGAGACTTAGTCCTCTGGCTAAGTTACTTGCCATTCTACCCCTTCTGGGGCACTTAAAAATCCAAAATTAGTCTGAAGTATTATCAAATTAAACCTCGTTTCTGTTCCATGAAATGTGCTAGACATCACACTTCTCAGTCCCTGGCCTTACCTAGCCTTCTCTCCCACACTGAGAGCTTAACATCTGCCCTCTCTGTTTGTTTCTCATCTGCCCTTTTGCTCCAGTGGAACTAAATTGTGCTCAATGAGTTAAATCAGCGCAGCTCAGCTTGACGACAAAGCCTTTACGATTATTGTCAAAGTTAAGCTGGTAAATTATTCTGTGGTAGAAGTTATTACAAAGATTAGAAATCCTAAGAATTCCACTCTACAAAAACACCTAAACAGTGGAAAGTACACAGATACATAACTCCTCCAGACACCCTTAACTCTGCCCCGTTATGCCATCCGGACACAGATAACCTTTACAGTTCATCTCAAAAGTTCAGTATGATGAATTTTTTTTTTTTTGCAGTCATTGAGTTGTCCCTGAGTAATGGATGGATAAAGTGTTCTCCAAGTTTATATTTTTGGTACAGTGGGGCAGAGTTAAGACAGAGTGACCTTAATTCTGAATTATACACTATCTTAGTGTTTTGAAGCAGAACTTTTAATTCTGTATTTCCAGGCTAGCTTTTTATTTGGGACTTTTTGTTGTCATTTCCTTAAAACAGCAATGCTCTTAAAGATTTTTTTTGTTCAAAATATATGATGGATTTGTCCAACATTAACTGAAATTATGGTTGTTTTCAAGATTGCTGTAGCCATATTTGGTCCCAGGATATGAGAGAGACAAGGTAGATGAGGTAATGTTTTTTATTAGACCATCTTCTGTTGGTGGGAACCTTGTATCTCCCACCAACAGAAGTTGATTCAGTAAAAGATATTGCCTCACTTACCTTGTCTCTTTAATTATGGTCTTTTTAAAATCTGGAAAGTCTAGTTGTGTGTGTATTTTTATCTCCCATTTCTGTGTATTTAAAAAGCCCAACAGTGTAGAGATGGCGAGAACCATTGCCAGGGTTGCTGTGTTACTTGTCTTAAAGTTGCTCCCAAACCAAAGCAGATGCACCTACCATCTCCATAGTGCTCTCCAAAACATCTACAGAAGAGATGGTTCTTGTCTCAAAAACGTGCAGTCTGCTAGCACAAAGCACTGGTGATAACTATCAGTGCAGTCCTCTTTGGCGAAAGCATTATAACAATGACACCAGGACACACTGGGTTTAAGATCACATCCGGCTCCACTCTCTGCCTTGCTCCTCTCAGGGGCACAGGGACATTTTAAAGTCCATTCCCGGAGCTCTCTTGGTCCTTGTGGGTGGGATGTTGGGTTCCCTACCGGGTGCATTTTTCACTGTCATTACAAATCCTGGAAATAGCACCATCTATTACACAGCCCTTCACATGCAGATTAACACGGGTGCCCTCCCCCAAGGAGATTCCAGCCCAAGGGCTCAGAACAGTGCCTTCCCCTGTTGGGGAGCTTATAGGGAACTGACTGTCAGTGCTGCCAAACTGAGTGCTGAATCTGCCATGTGGTCATGTTGTATCGTTTGCCTCTCTTGCGCCCTGCTGGGCACTGTTCGCAGATGGGAAGCTGTATGATGCATACCTGTCCTATGCAAACTCACCGGACGACAGAAAGTTTGTGAATTTCATTATGAAGCCACAGCTGGAGAACCGTCATGGCTACAAGCTCTTCCTGGATGATAAGGCCATCCTGCCCAACTCAGGTAGGGCCCAGACCGGATGCTGCCTTCCATCTCACCTTTGCCTGCAGACAGACACACTCCTGCTCCTGGAAAGTCAGCCTTGACCTCTGATTATTGAAACTGCTTTTCAGGACACAGGAAGCCACACCCTGCACAGCAGGTCTGCTCTCTGGTGTGACATTTCCCTTTGCCCTCCTAGACACCTTGCCCTCAGAGATTATAAACACTAACTGATTAAGAGCACTGAGCTGTGAATAGCTGAGTATTTTAGAGATTGCAAAAGAGAGGAACTGAAGGGTTGTGTGTTCCCTCCGACATAACATAGCAATTCAGAGGGAGAGTTTGGAGTGGAACCCAGGAGTCCTGACACCTACTCCTGCTGTAACCACTGGAAAACACTCTCTTCAGCTGCAGCAGTGTAACCTGAGTCTGAGAAAAAAGCACTTAATGCTGCAAGACAGGCAGGGTTATGAATTTAACTGTCTGAAGACTGTGGGGGCCCCCTGTTGCCCTCAGTTCGGCTTCAAATGCTAAGGCAGCCTGTTCCCGGAGGAGGAAGAAGAATAGAGAGCCGGTGACCCATTCTGGCTCTGCTTCATTTTTGCCATGACTGTGAATCTCATTTCTATTCTACTCCACTAGAGCCTTCGGCAGACCTGATCATGAACGTGAGCCGGTGCCGGCGCCTCATTGTGGTTCTCTCGTATGCATACCTGGAGCAAGACTGGTGCAACAACAGTTTCAGGTCAGGGGCTGGCCACTGAACCGGGTGCTGGGCTGCTGCTTTGCTGCCCTGGCAGCACAGAGCTAGACCTCCCTTGTTTGGCAGAATGGCTGCATGGCAGACTGCACCCTGTTGTCCTTCCCCCTTTGCAAGCCCGTCATGTCGTTCCTCCTCCACACTGCCCAGGCCCAACAGGAGAGTCCCCCTGCCCTCAGCTCTATGTCCAGTGCCACACCAGCCTGTGGTGGCTATGAGGAGCAATTGCAAGTAAAGCCCTGCTCAGCCTCTGCATCTCTGGCCTAGAGCATGCTCCGGGCAGACAGAGTCTTGAGTATTTATCAAGCAACCTTTTGTACGTTTCTACTGAGCATGTGCAAACTGCAGTTTTCCCCAGGCCAGACTTGGGTATGTTTTCATAGAGGCAGCAAAGGGCCAGGGTGACCACTTCCCCGTCCCACCCAATTTCCAGTCTAGTGTTCCAAAGCCAGAGCTTCTGAATGAAACTACTGTAAGATTTTTTTTTTAAAAGATAAAAATAATTCTTCCCTAATCTTGTTCTCTGATATGAGTGAACTTTTCAGTTCAAATTTTCCACAACATTTGCTAGACATCTGCCATGAGAAATTTCAGTCCCGACAGTGAAAGTTTGCCAAAGTTACAAGCAAATGACTTCTCAGAGAGAGTACTGGGCAATCTTAACTAAAGGCATCTCTTCCGGTTCTTGCCTCTGTTCCCCTTGCTCCCAGGCCAATGCTCACTGAAAGTCAATGGGAGTCTTTCTGTTGCTTTGTAGCTGGTCAGGGTAATGACGAGGTGGGTTAGCTGAGCAGGCGTGATTCATTGCTCTCCTTACGCCCTGCAACTGTTGCCTTGTATTGCAGGGAAGGGCTCTGGCGACTCTTGGAGCTGTCCCAAAGACCCATCTTTATTGCCTTTGAGAGCCAGTACCGGGAGATAGAACATCCGGCCATTCACCTGCTGAAGCAACACAAGAACGCTGTGACCTTACTGCTCTGGCGGACTGGCTCAATGGTAAGTGGCGGGGGGGAAGAATAGGGGGAGCAGAAGGCTCTGGTCAGGGAGGGGTCTCACAGTACTGCTGGGATGCTTTTGGTACCCCTAGCCTTGGCAAGAAGCCCTGCATGGCAGACATGGTTCCCTGGGTGGAGGGTCCCAGACACTCCCCCTGCTCACTAACCCCACAATGGTGTGTGCTGAATGGTCAGGCCAGGCCTATAGCTACTCAGGGAGAGCCTACACTAGAAGCGCCACAGTGGCGCAGCCGCACTGAGGCCGCACATCTGGCGAAGATGCTCAGTGCCCACAGGAAGGAGCTCTCCTGTTGCAGAGTAAAATCATGAGCGTGGGAAGCTACATGGTGGAGAGGAGAAGCTCTCCCGCCGACAGCGCTGTGCACACCGGTGCGTAGGTCGGGGTAACTTACGCCCCTCGAGGTGGGGCGTGTTTACACCCTGAGGGAGAGGACTTAGACCCATGTGGGTGGCAGTGGGTACAGGCCCTCAGACAGCCCTGCTGGAGGGGTCCTGCAATATCAGAACTAGTAGCCTTTGAGCAGACTGGACTGCAGCTCTCCCCAGCAGGCCTCTTGGCTGCTGCCTTGGGCCCCCTGCACCGCAGCTCTCCTTGAGAAGCCCTCCGGCCCCTGACACATTACCCGCATTAAGTGCTGGCCGAGTTTCCCACAAAGAACAGTAAATCCTGTAAGCCGCATAATCCTCCCTGGCCTGGCAGCTCCGAGGAGCCTGGCGTTGTGTGGTAGTGACACAGAAGGCCACCTGGGGGCACCACAGCCTGAGAGATGGTAAGACACGTCGCCTGCTACCAAGGTGGGGAAGAATGATCCTCTCCAGACAGACGCAGCCTATGGGGCAGGCTCTCAGAAGAGCTCAGCTCCCATTGAGGACAAGGAGGGCTGCAGGGAGCTGAGGACTTTCGAAACTCGGGACGTAAATGACTTGCCCAGAGCCCGAGTCTGTGCACAGAAATGACCCCACTTCCCCAGGTTGCCATTGTGGACGTGGTAATTGGCCAGAGACATTGGAGACCCAGTTGTGCAGGAGACTGGACGTGCGTGTGAAGAGCGAGGCCCACAGTGGCAGCAGAGCCTTTTCAAACCCCTCCCTGCTATTCACACCCTTCCTTCCCCACTCACGTTCCAGAAAGCTGTGTTCCCAGGCGCGCTGCCCTCCAGAGACGAGCACCGACTCCCCGAGTGGAGCTGGGCTCCCCCGGCGCCGCTCACTTGGCTGTAGCCTCCTCGCCAGTTCTGTGGCAGAGGCTGCTTGTGTATTGTCCACATGTAGGCGCTCTCATTAGACTAGCCACATTCCCCTGGGCGTCTGGCTCAGGGTGACTCATAGGGTGGGAACACACTGCTTTTCCCAAGTGGCTTTGACATGGGCAACTGCAGCCAAGTTCAATGCTGTTTTTCACTAACAAGCATTTTATGGCTGGCTTGTCCCTGGCCCTTTTGCCCCCCAATTAGGGGCAGGAACAGCCATGCCCCACATTTGGGGAAACGCTGGGACTCCTTTCTCTGCCCTACAGGGGGTGCAGCCTGAAGGGGGGCAGGTAAGGAGTGGCAGCCCTATGCCCTCGCCTGCTTCTCCCGCAGACCCACTGTGCATGCTCCCTGCAGCTCTGGGGCCATCAAGTCTCTAATTTCAGATTAGAAGGGCTCCGTTCACAAGTCCAATGTGAATTCTAGCAGCAACCCCAAGCTGCACCCCCAGCAGCAACAGGGGCTCTGCAGGCCAAACCCTGCCCTTAGCAAGCTTGGCTAATCCCCCTGCCTTCCTCACCTTGGCTGTGCCAGTGCAAATCATGGCAGCTAATGGGCTTGCACAGACACAAGCAAGGGACGCATCCTGCAGCCTGCAGAATCCTCCTCCTGCATCGTCACCAGGAATGAGGAAAGACCCCACTGTCGGGTCCCAAAGCTCAGGCTCTGGCAGCGACAAGAGGCAGGTCCGTGGCTTTGAACTTAGCAACACCCATTGGATCTGGAGCCCCATTCTGTGCAGGGGAGACCTGCACTTTATCCCTCTCCAGAGCAGCGTGTTTGGGACTAGAAAGCTGGTGTGGCAAGTAGGGATATAAAAGGTTAACCCGTTAACCCCTCAGCATGCCCCTTACCGGCATGTGTACCTGGGTAGCCGGTTCATCGGCAAAGGGCTGCTCCGGCTGGGCCCAGTGCTCCCACCCCTCATCTGCATCACGGTGTGGCGGGCTTGGCCATGACGTGGTGCGGCGAGAGCAGGCAGGGGGCTGTTCTAGCCCAACCGGGCAAACTATGCCGCAGGCAGATGTTCCAGGAGATGAAGCAGTGGTTGGACTGAAGTGGCCCTTTGCCGCAGTTAACTGCTTAAGCCCTTTGTTTCACTGGTTAGCCACCTAATCGGGATTCTACATCCCTATGGAAAGCTGGACTGAAGCTTTCTCCTGGGTCCCCAAGGAAGCCCTACCTACGGCTTTGCCACAGCTGTTCTTTTTCAGAGCCACACCTAGATCTGCAGCGTCTAGCTCTATACAGGCTCAGCAGTTCTGCAGGGATCTCCACCCAGGCTCGGCTCGTTTTTCCTGATCCCGGCTTGGCGAGGTGCCCTCTTGTGAGCACAGCCTTGTTGCCAGGGCTTCTGGCACGTGCAGGGACAGGCCCTTGCTGACCTCAGGGAGCTGCATTGCCAGAGTGAAGCAGCCCCAGCAAATGCAAGGCCCCCTCCAGCTCCATGAGGCAGGCAGTGCAAGTGCCAGACTGTCAGTGTCTGGCAGGCCCCATCCGCGCTTCCCCTGTTGGAAGGGGATTGGAAGCTTCTTATTGCTGTATTTGGTCAGATCCCTGGAGCTTCTGTGCGGCATTGTCCTCCAGCATCGGTCCTGGCACTGCCGCTGAGGCAGCCTGCGTCCTCCTTGGTTCAGATAACATGACGTTCCCAGCGAAGAGTCGGGGTTGCACCCTGCCCTGCTCTCTGGGGGGCCCAGGAGTGTGGCGAATGCCACCAAAGGGACAGAAGTTTGTGGAGAAACATGCTCTGTGGATGTTGCACAGTACAGTGCTAGTCCCAGCTCTCTGTTACGTGACGGACCTGCCAGGTGCCTTCTCTGGGAAAGTCACCTCCTGGGTGCGCTCCTTTTCCCTGTCCAGCCTTTGTCTGCCTGGTGTGTCTAGAGCAGTGTTTCTCAACCTTTTTTTATAAAGTACCCCTTTAAAAAAATTATAAGTACCCCCAGTACCTACAGCTTTCAAAGACACATTTTTTTCTACCATTGCAACACATTTGTTTAAACAACTTAATCGTAGCCGGGCGGGTGATGACATTTTTGGGTGTAAAAAGTACAAAAATAAGAAAGCACTGTAAAACTTAAAACAAAAATTCAGTTTTCTCCAAATTTCAGTTGCGTTGACGTACCCCCCAGGCTTCTCTCGAGTACCCCTAAGGGTACTCGTACCTCTGGTTGAGATACACTGCTCTAGAGCATATACTGACTGGGGCAAGAACTGGCCCTTCCTGCAGCTACAAATGGGACTAGCACAAGGGGGGCTTGGTGGCCACTGGGACCTCTCGGTTTGTTCAACAATACAAATAAGAAAACAAAAATCCCCTTGCCTCTGATTTTTGGCCGAGTTTCCAGCTACCTCTGCAGCAATGGGAGTTCTGTCTCCGTGCACGTCCCCGCAGCCAGACCTGCTACACGTGCTTCCCAGCTCACATGCCCCACGCCCGCGCTCAGCAAGGTGCTGAGACTTGTTCGGGGGCGTGCCAGGGATTGCAGGCCTGATGCGTGGCGGAGGAGCTGGCGTGAACCGAACTCAGGGGAATGTGACCAGGGTTCTTCCTCTTCCTTCCAGACCCCCTCCTCGGATTTCTGGAAGGAGCTGTGCCTGGCTCTGCCACGGAAGGTGTCCTACCAGAGGACCATGGGGGACCCTCAGACCCAGCTCCAGGAGGACAAGGACCCCATGCTGATTCTGCACAGCAGCTACCTGGAGTACAAAGGAGACTCCCATCTGGAGGGAGACCTGGGTATAGTCACCATCTGTCCATGTTCTTATCTGTTTTAGCCTCATTCTGTCACAGGGGTGGCCCAACAAACTGGTGAGGCTGCAGCCACTTACTCCGTTAACATCTTGTGTGTAGAGCACATGGGGCCAGACTCCCCTGTGGCAAGTGCCCCTCCTCTAGCCCAGCTCCATGTGTGGAACAGCAACATCCCACCCGTACAGCCCTCTTTGCAAAGGCCAGAATCTGCCCCTCTGAGGTTCCAGCCAAGATCAGTGGGATAACCAATGCGAACGGACCATTGATCGACATCTCAAAGTTTCCTTGTTCCCCTGCTCTCCGCAGCTGCTTGCCTGAGTCTTGTGCTCTGACCCCACCTCGCAGAGAGGTTTCCTTCCCATGTCCCCAAATCTATCCCTGCCATTGTCTCTGGATTGGGTTTGATGTTACGTTTCAATTATTTGATCAAACCCAGATCAGCTAACCACTCGTCACACAAGATGTCCATGTCTGGCAGTAACTAATAATCACCCTGGACAGACACCAGTCCCAGCTCCTCCTTGGTTCCCCAACATGGCCACACGTGTCACCTTCCCTTCCCTTTTTAGCCTCTTGGGAGAGCTCCACAGTTTTCTACAGGTTGAACCTTTCTGGTCCGGCACCCTCAGGACCTGACCGTTGCCGAATCAGAGAATTTGCCGGACCATGGGAGGTCACTATTGTCGCGCAGCATCACCAACACTTCCACTGGTTATTGGGCTCTTAGAAGACATTTAGGGGTAAATTAGAGCTAAGTAACAGCACAGAGCCCCGAGAGCCAGGACTGGTGGCTGTAAACAAACTTTATGGCTCCGCGGGAAACTTGGCCACACCCATGATATGTGGACATCCGGCTACCTAAAATCAGACTAGACCAGAGATGGTGCCAGACTAGAGAGGTTCAACCTGTAGCATGGAATAAGTGGAGCCCTCATTTTGGGAGGGGGAGCAGCAGTCGTGCGCTCTGGGATGCGTCCGCTTTCCTCCCCGTTCCCTAGACGCTAAGGGAGTGAGGGGAAAGTGCTTGCGTTCCGTGCATGCCTCTCCCACCTGGCTAGTGAGCGCCCTTCCCCAGCCATGTGTGAGAGGCATGCACAGAAAACAAGGACTTCCCCCTCGCTCTCTTGGTATCCGGGGATGGGGATAAAAAGTAAGCCCCATCCCAGAACACATGGCTGATGCCCCCCCTACATGCCCAAAATGGTGCCCTCGCCCCATCCCTTTCTCTGCTCAGGATGGAGCAGTCGGGTGGCCTCCAGTCAGCACTTCAAGGAGAGCTCGGGCTACGTCGAAGGGAAGGGTTGCACCAGTGTCCGCTTGCCTCCTTCAGAGACCCCTGCTAAGCCTTGTCTCTGTCCAAGCCCTGAAACAGCTGCTGGGAGGGAGGGGCATTGGTACCCGCTCCAAAGGGCTTGGAGAGAGACTCCGGGATTCGTTAGCACCTGCTGAGTTGCCGGGAAATCTGCTTTAATGTTAGTAGCAGGGATAATGTAAGTCCTGTGCTTATCAGAGATTTACAAGCAGCTGGCCACAAAGCCCAGCTTGCTTGTGCCCAGTGGTTCGACTGTCTGGAGGAGACTGGAGAAATGATGGTTGTTGCAGAGAGGCCAGGCGGTGTGTGCAGCCTGGCACTGCAGCCCAGCACAAGGCTTGGCAGCACCTCCCTTCCAGCTAGTGCAGCACACTGGGGCCAGCCTTGGCCTTGAGCTTTTCAGGGCATTGTAAGGAGTCTGGGAGACAGTGTGACCCGCAGACAAGTCTACAGCTCTTCCCTAAGAGAAACAGTCTCTGGTTTGTTTTTATTTCCTGTTCTTCTGCTCTTGGCTGGTGTTTACTGAGCCTGGACTTGCTATTCTATGGTAGAAAAGTCCTGTTGAGGCTCTCTCCAAAGGCCTCCCTCTGTCTCTGAAGTGAACCGGAACTCCTGGGATTCCACAGACCACGAGCTGCTGGGAGTCCTGTCCCCACCCCCACCAATCTGTACTCTTGCTCCATCCCAACAGGTGTCAGTGGGTCCGTTTTAAGGGGCCCTCCGCCCCCTCGAATGATGGGTCCTGAGGGGCCACCCGCACTAGCCGCTGGCATCCTGGAAGAAGTGCAGCTGGAGGAGGGCCAGAAGAATGAGATTGACATCTCTGACCTGGGATCACGCAACTACGGCGCAAGGACAGACTTCTACTGCCTGGTGACAGAAGACGACCTCTGAGGGGGCGGGATTGTCGCTCCCCCAGGACTGGCTGTCTC